CCTCACGGCTGCTGCGGGGCAGGCTCCGTCTGCCTCTGGCTCAGGGACCGTGCTCTGGTTTGCTGACGGTTTTTGTTTGACAGGCACATGAAATTGGTGGTAATATATTTAATATATTTACCTTTGATACGAGTTCCTTGAAATCAGAAGTGCGGCCAGGAGTCTGCTGTTTGAACAACTCTGATTGCCGGGAGTTTAAGATATCGGTGCATCAGAAATTATATTCTTAAATTAAAAAAAAAAAAAAAGAAAAAGAAAAAAAAGGGGAAAAAATTAATTCCGAGATTCAGAAGTATTGCATTAACATCAGAGACAGCATCGTGAGGGCAGAGCTGGCTGCCGAGCCTTGGTGAGGGGCAGAGCAGGGGCCAGAGGCCGGAGCCGCCCTTTGCTGGGGCAGTGACCTGGAGCACACAGCCCTGGGCTGGATGGAGGCACTGCAGGGGGATTCCTCCTTTTTCTGAGCAGCATCCCTGCAACGCGAACCCAAACACACCCAGCTCAACCAGGGGTTTTGCAGACAGGGAAATTGGGAATATCTAAAAGGCAGAGCGTGAATGTCTGGGATTATTTTCTGTGAGGAGAAGGAGGAGGGACACTGTGGTTTATAAATACTTTGTGTGGGAGATCTTCACAGCAGAGGGCCTTGAATTGAAAGAGGCACATCAGAGTCTTTTGCCAGATCTACTGGCAGAACACCAAGAATATGGATAAGGGCATTCTTGACATTCTGAAGTGAAAGGGCATTAAAATAGTAATATTTGGCATTCATTGGGAATAAATTAATGTTTTCTGTCGTAGTTGTAGCTATCCAAGGATTCTCTACATTAGGAAAACAGAACTTGCCGTATTTTAACTTTTAACAAAATTTTTATTCTCTTGGCCTGTGTGCTGATCAGCTGCTCACACCTAATCTGAAGAGAAGTTTCCTGGGCTGAATATAACTTATTGTGAAACATATACCATCAACACACAGCCTCCCAGTGTCCAAACTTGTTTCCCTTCCAGCCTTGAGCCAGAAACAGACTTTTGAGTATATGAATAAGATAGCACTAGAAATGAAACAGTGTAAGACAAGAATCATGGTGATCAGGGTGATCATGAAGTTAATTTGCAAAGTCTCTACCAACTCAGTGTGTGCACATGATTATTTTTTTGTAAAAACCCTTCAATGCATTGATTTTGAATAAAAATTATTTAGGGCTCTGATTCATAAGCAGTAGATGTTATAGTGGCCTAAAATGCTGTTGGGGTGGTTGCAGGAGGGTGACTGCAGCTGCCCTTGCTGGGTGCTGTGCGCTGGTTTCTCTGCTGTCACAGCTGGCACAGTGGTTTAAACTCTGGTCGGTCATGAGTCTGAGCCCTCTGTTCTCTGCTGTCAACAAAAATGCAGAGAAGATAAAGATATAGTAGCTAGATTGTTATCCTTTGTTTTACAGCATCCATCAAAGCCCTACTTTGTAAATGGAAATCAAATTAAGCTTTCCAATATTACAGGAGCTATGAGTCTTCCAAATGATGATGGATTGAAATAATTCATGCAAAAGCCCAGGATATCTCATCAATCCCATCTGGTGGATTTAGTCTCAGGGCCTTTCAGGGACATTATTCAAATGTTTCTGGTAGGAGGTGAATGTAATTGCTGCTTGAGGAGCTATTTGGGAAGGGAGGCTATGATTTCTTTTAATATAATATTTAATTATATACAAATAATAAAGCAGCTTAAGTAAGTTTATAATGTTTCTGTAGAACTATTATAACCCTTTCTCTCTTTCCTCACTGATGGGCTCTTGCTTGTATTTTATTTGTCTCATAATGCACCAATGGTGAGTGATGCATTGTGAAAAGGATTTAATGGGACGCTGCCTAAAATTGAAATATCTGATCAGTATTTAGTCAGTGCTGCAGGGGCAGAGACAGAAATAGTGTGCTTCTTTTTCCCCCCAACTAAGGTATATGTGACACCTTCTTCTTCAGACTGCTGTTCAGCTGTGGTGGTTTTGGATTAAATACTAATGCTGCATGCAGATATTCTCTTTCTCCCATAAACCAAGGGGTAGGTGTACATTGATTAGCATGATATCTCCTCAAGCTGTAAACATACAGAAACACAGGCAAGAGGAACTCAGCTCAATTAAAGCAGGCAGGCCAGTGGGCAAGGAGGAGCCTTGTTTGATATCAAACAAACAGAGGCTGTATGCTCTTGTGACACAATAAAGTCAATAGTCCTACACCCTGCTATGAAAGTGGGGCTTTTTCTAAGTATGAAAAATTAAAGTTATGAACATTGGTTTCCAGTTTCTTGCTGGGTTAAACAAGCACAAAATCTGTGCATTAGAGTCTTGTTTCAGGCTATCTCATGGTCAGTGAATGCAGGAGGGCTGATCAGATATCAATGTGCAGAAGGGTGGGGAATATGATCAGAAACATTCAGTGCCTCTGAAACACATGGGGTGGGTGTAGGGAGCAAGTTCTATACCACGAGTAAAAATCTGACAGTCTGTCTGAAAACTGTGTTTATGTTCAGAAAAGACTCTGTGACAACTTATTAAAGTACCACAGGCAGTGTTACTGTCTCACTGCACAGACTGCAGCTGTGAAAGGGCTGGGTATTGAGTCATATCCTACTGCAAAGCACAAGTTCAACAGGCATAAAATTTTACAGTTTTTAACTTTGATCTGATTTAAGAGCCTTTCTGAGTGTTCTGTGTTCTACTAAGTGATTTCACACTCTAGGCTACTGAACAGTCTTGGAAACAGGTGCACATTTTCTGTTATGTGTATCCTGGTAGAAATAAGGTATATGTATGTGTATATATGTGTGTGTATAGGGCACACACTGTGGTGGCTGCAGCCTTCTCTGTGTTCCTTTTTGACCAGGTTGCTCCCTGAAGCTCTCAGCAAACACCATGTTGAAGAGATCTGTGATAGCCCACTGCCCCTGGACTCCCAAAGCAAGGCTCTGCAGACAAGGTAATTTAGCTCCCAGCTGAATAGAATAGCTACTGGAATGATGGGTAACTGATATTATGGAAACGCCTGACAGAACCATCTGATTTAAGGTTCTTCTGTGCACATGATCTGCAAATCCACAGTGATAAAGAGTCATGTTTTGGGGGTTTTTCTTGTCTTAACAGGGCAGGTTTAGTTCAAGAAGGTACTCAGAGCTCATGGCACTTAGGGGCCTAAGGATACAGAAGGGAACTCTGTGGCATTTTCAGAAATACATAGGTACATAAATACTTCTGAAGGACCACAGCGCTTCAGGTGAAGTGTTACTTCAGCACTTAAGCACTTATATTTTTGAAAAGCTCATCTTTTGTCTTCATAGTATATCACTAAAATGTGATATCCCCAGAAAGGTAATCAGATGTAGATTTGCACTGGGAGGTAAGTGTATTTTAGATCCCATGCCATCAGCACCATCTGGAGCAGTGTGTCATATGCCACAGGAAATGCACAACTGCAGCCACGTGGCTGTGCAGCATTTCCATGTAAACTGCCCCAAAAGTGGCTCCAGTTTGTTGCGAGATTCATGAAACTCTGAGAAGGAAGAAAACACCCGTGAAGCTGTGGGCTTGCTAAGCTGGGGGCAGCTCCAGTTCTGATCATTGCTTCCATGAAGCTGGAAAGGGTCTCAGGAAAGAAGCTCAAAGTAGAGGTATAAACATGAAGGAGCTGCAAGGGAATGAGCAGTTGGAATTTTGGAGTATGTGGGGAGGCTGCACTGCTTTCATTACAACTGTTGGTGCAGACAGAGGTTATTTAGAGGTCCATCCTGTGTTTGGTGCTTAAACAAAGGAGCACCTAAGAAAGTTGTGAGTCCTGAGGTACTGAGCATCAGGACCAGTAGTTGTCATTGCTGGCATTAAAGGAGTGAGTTCAGGGTCTTGGTGCAGAGACCAACCTTGAAATGCTTTCATAGGAACTTCAACGTGCATCAAAGTGTCTACTTTTGTCCAAAACCTGGCACAGGATGTTACCTTTCCAAAGCAGAAAGTGCATTTTCATCTGAAGTATTCCAGAGCCATTCTGAATGTCTTTGGCACATTAAATGGATTGATACTTTGATCTCACATTAATGTGAAGTCAGAATCCTCTTGGCCTGAGCTTGTCAAGAAGATCCATCTCCCTCTCCCACATGAGTTTTGTTATTTTTTTTTCTGGTGGTTTCCAGGCTCATAGTTCATCCTCCACCATAACTCGTGCACCTGCTGTTCAATACAACAATTAGCATAAATGTTTGCATTGCTTACTTGAAGCATTGGTGCACAAGCAGGTGTTTTGGTAGATTTTTTTTTTTTTTTGAGTTTCTGGATTTGTTTTGTTTGGGTTTTTGTTAAATATATCATAGAATGGTTAGGGTTGGAAGGGCCACAAAGATCATCCACTTCCAGCCCCTGCCATGGATGGGAACCCCTCCCATTAGAATAAACTGTTGTGGGTTTAAAATACAAAACCAGC